TGTACCGTCAGATCAGATCTGACTGGTATAGGAGGAGATTGTCCCTCCTTCCCCGGCAGAGCATCTGGTGGATTCGAACCGTGCGCCTCTGTGATTGTAGTTGCAGCTCCTTGCCATTAGACCACCAGAGCTCCCCACAACTTTGCTTTTTACCACTTCAAAAAAGTATTTGGCAAAAGATTTTCCCATTGCAATATGCTATCTGATTTCTTGACTACTGCTTCCACAGGCATTAAGTGTTGATCCAAATAAAATTAAATCCTTGGCAATTTTAAATTCATCTCTGTTTAGCATGATGTTGCTTACTGTTCCAGTTGCATGACTCGTTTTCTTTATGTTGCTATTTAATCGATACTGAAGGCTGTAGTCTTTGATATTCATCTAGAAGTGTTTTCAATCTTCTTGCTTTCAGTAAGCAAAGTTTTACTATTTGTATATAATGAGTCTTCCTTTTCTTGATGTCATGTTTTTTATATAGTCCAGTTTCTTGTATCATTTACTCATCATACAGATACAGTGTAGTGAAAGGATATAATCCTTATGTATGCTTTCCTGAATTTTAACCATGCAGTAACCCCTTGTTCTGTTCAGATGACTACTTCTTGGTCTATCTTTCTGAGCACAACTAAATGTTCTGGAATTGCCATTCTTCTCAATGTTGTCCATACTTTATGATTTACACAGTCAGCAAGTCTATGACTTATATATGGTGTGATTATCCTCAATATATATTTGAAATCTTCTGTTTGTGGTTTTTAAGGATACGTTATATTTGTTTTATTAACGAAACAGAATTGCATTGTAATTCATAAACCTAACTTAAGTCACCACTCTTACTCAGGTCACAGCCCTGAGTTGAAGTAGGGGAGTTTCTAGGAACTTCATACTTTGTCTTAAAAGAGATAAAAAGAAAGAGAAGCAAGAAGAGAGAGACCTCTGTATCATCAAGAAAGAAGAGCCAGGAGTGGAAGTCTTGCCTCAGGTCTGACTATCCTCTCTCTAGGGGAAGATGAATGTCAAGACACATGGAGATTTCCAAGGAATGCTGAACACATACATACTGGAAAATGACCTTCTCCTAAACTGAATATAGAGAGAAAACCTTCTATCTAAAGTCAACCCCCCTGAATTCAGATTTCTAGCCTCTGAACTGTGAGTGACCACACCTCTGTTTGGTAAAGCCACCCACTTGTGGTATTTCTGCTATAGCAGCACTAGATAACTAAGACAGAATTTGATGGTTAAGAAAAGTATATTTAAATGAGGAAATTAACCTGGATTATCTCACTGGGCCCTAAAAGCAATGACAAGCATCCTTAAAAGCGAGAGATAGGGGGGTGGGGGTAGACAGAGGAGGAGATGGCAATGTTACTGCAGAGGTAGAAAATGAACTGATGAAACCATAAGCTATGGCATGCCAGTTGCCACCAGAATGGGTAATTTCTGTCTCAGAAAACCACTGGAGTCAGCTATGGTTCCAGCTCAAGGCATACAACAATCACCTGCAGACAAAGCTGCCCCTGCTGACACTGAGTTTAGCCTAGTGAGCCTGATTTTTGTACTTCTGTCTTCTAGAACTATGACCGAAAATATCGTCTGTATTTTAAGCTACCAAGTTAGTGGTAAGGTATTATAGCAAGTACAGCGGACAAAAAAGCAAGGAAGATGCACTCACTTCCAGCTCTTTTTCTTCTGCTGTTTCCAGGAACAGATCTGGGCGGAAAGGCTTCACTCCTTTGGAATGCTCTACTCTGAAAATCTTCTCTGAAGGAAGGAGAGTAATTCAGATTAAAAGAGAGAATGCAGCTGAAATGTAGCACTAATAGAGTTCATCTATCCAGAGTGTTTCAGAGAAGGTCAGCACTCAGTAGGTACATACATTGCAGGAATAAATTAGCCAGCCATCAGGTAAAGCAGTCTTATACCTACTTACACCTAGGGGGTTACCTTCATTTAAACTCCTAATTCATTAAAATTTAGCTCTGACTCCACTTTGTCAGTAGGTTTTCTCTACCAAACCTTTGTCCTATCTCCCTTAATTATCTCTCTACTTCCCAACCAACACTAGACAATTAAAGAGCTATCACATAATACATGTTCACTAAGTGAGGATTAAATGAATAAAATTAAGGATTTTAAAATTTCAATAGTTATCGAAAGGCTTCAGGCCTTTTGTTCATTGGGTATGAGTCATGCTCGACGCAAAGGCAATCAACAACAACAACTTGGAAATGATATGGGACAAAAAATGTAAATATAATATTAGTAAGAACTAAAATATATATGTTCATCCACTAGAATGATCACATTCCAGCACTAAATACATTTACCATCATGGAATCCTGGGGACTTTCTGAAATTGTAAGGGCAGATTCATTAACAATAATATTGCTAATACCTGGGGGGGGGGGAATAATAATACCTGGCAATAGACTCTTATGCTCTTAAAGCACTCCAACATTCACATTGCCATTTAATACTTTTAATTACTCTGTGAAATATGAGGTGTACATATGCCATTACTTTTGCAAACAAAAGAACTGAGATGCCGTCACAAATGTGTTAGTGTCCCAGCCAGCCTAAGGTGCAGGTCAGTTGGTCCCCAGTGGGAGCAGTTGAAGGGTTTCAGACTTACCCTTCTGGTCCCGACAGCTCAGTGTGTAGAAAGTTTCTCTCCGCAGGATGATCTCCTGGGCTATGATCCCATAGCTGTACACATCTCCTTTCTGAGAGATGCTGGCTTGGCGAAGCTGCTCTGGGGCTGTCCACAGGTCTGAGCATTAAGCCATGGAGAGTGAAAACAGAGGGCTGTGAGAGGTCCATCGGTCATTAACCTACTTCTGTAACTCCTCATAGCACCTACTTTGAATTTACATGGTCTCAAACACTTGATGAATTTATGCTAATACTGGTGAATATACACTTACCTTTTAAGGGAATGTAATGTCAAGACTTCTGTCTTTTCTAACTGATCTGGTTCTGTTTGTCAAGGTTCTCTTGAGCTATATTTAATTTTGGTTCCAATTGTCCACTGAGCATTTTACAAGATGTATTTTGGAGTGTTTACTTTCTCCAAAATACCATTTCCCCTTATATTTTCACACTGTGTTATGTCATCTATTTCTTTCATTTTTTTATAACTTTGAACAACTTTTATGTAATTTTTTAAGCTTGCTAATTGTATTATTTCTGGCTTGTTGGAAACAAATTATTCCCATATTTTCCCTATCTGCTGATTACCCCATGTCAGTCTATGTGCTTTGTGAATTTTTTTTAATCTTTGACATTAACTACAATATGTGGAAATAAATATTTGGGAGCAGGAGTGGCATCCACTTCCTAAACAACATGCCTCTGGAGACTATGAACTTTAATAAACGACGATAGATATAGAAATGCTTCAGGCTTTTTGTTCTTAGGGCACCTATGAGTCATGCTCCACTTGAAGGCAATCAACAACATTAACAATGTCAAGATGTGGATGAGGTTAAATAGTATCTTCTCAAACTGTTTTGTATTATAGTTCTCAAGACACTTGAGGCCTACCTAGACTAGACACTGGGATACAATAAGTAGTGCTCCCTAGGTGATACTTAAGACTTGGGCTCCTAATTAAAAGTTGTCATTTTGAACACACCCAGAGGCTCCTGCGTAGAAATCCCTAACAATCTGCTTCTGAAAGAAAGTCTTATTCACGTAAACCTGTGGAGCCCAGTTCTACTCTGCGTGGAATCAGCATGTGCTAGAATTAACTTGACAGCAACTGGCTTTGTTTTTCAGTCTGATATAATAAGTACTCAATAAATATTGGCTAACTAAATTCAAGAGAATGTGAGAGGCTGAGGAATTTAATAGCTTATAGGAGGCATAGTAAGGAGCCCTGGAGGCACAATGGCTGAAGCGCTTCAAACCAAAAAGCCAGGAGTTTGAACCTCTTAATCACTCTATAGGATATAGAAATGATTATCTATTTCCACAAAAACTACAGTCTTGGAAACCACACTGGGCAGTTCCGTCCTTGTGGTCTAGATGCAAGGAGTTGCACTGCCAACCTAAAAGCGAGTGATTCAAGTGAACCACCTGCTTCTCTGGAAGAAGATGGGCAGTCTCCTCCTCTGTGACTTACTGCCTCTGAAAACCTGCTGGAGAGTCAGCTATGCACAGGTTCTGCGTCGAGGGCACATAGCCACAATAACATCCCATCCAAAAAGGTTATTGTGAGTTGGATTCAATGTGGTGGCAGTGGGTTTGGTTGGTTGGGGCTTGTTTTGGTTTTGTTTTTTTTTTTACAATGCATAATGGGTGAACCTGTGAAAATCTTATAAATCAATACATGTACATTTTTTACTTATATTTGCTAGATAAATTAACACAGTGTAGGTAAGAAAATAGATTATCATTATTATTTTCCAGGCATTCTCCAAGTCATCTAGCTTCCTCAGAGGTGTTTTGTTTTGTTTCCACACAAGTTTTAAAAAATTATAAACCTAAAAGTGTATTTCCATTAAGTAGGAACCTATTCATAACTGACCCTACATTGGCTTTCTGAGGCTCTTAACTGCCCTAGAGATTGCCCACATTTCCTCCCTCAGAGCTGCTGGATTTGACTCAGAGAGGTAGTTTTTATATTTTACTATAGACATTTTTTATGTATATATTTTATACATTTATTTCATTTTTCTAGAGTCTTTTCACTCCTAACTACTATACATCTAATATACTTCACAGAAGTGAATGCTACTAGGTGTTTTAGGTTCCTATTAGTTTGTATATTTTGGACTGCTATCTCATACCTTATTTATTAATAACAGGAGCATATAATTAACTCATTATCCCCTGGAAACTTTTCAAGATCCCCTTGAAATTTTTTTGGATGTCTGTCTTTAGTGCAGTGATATCCAAATGATGAGAAATGTTTTCTACAATCCATTCTCTAATCATTGTTTTTGGGAATTTTTCCTATAAATATATGTAAATTGTGATTTATGTACAATGTGTCCTAAAGGACTGAGGTTGTTGTGGTTGTTGAGGCTGTAGAAAACATAAATCCATTTTCTTATGCTAAACCTCCTGGTATCTGACAACGTAAATTCTATTGCTGTCAACTAAATTTGGACTCACAGTGACCCACCCCTTAGGATAGAATCTAGGAACTGCCTCATAGATTTTTCCATGGCTGAATGTTTATGGAAGTCAATTGCCACATGGAGTGACTATGTACTTAACCACTGCACCACAGGTATGTACCACTGAGTGATATTCAGGAGAGTAGGATTTGACTTGTAATTCACTTTCATTTGTGTCACAATGAATAATTTAATAAGGAAAATCTGTTCTTCTACATGGTGAACCATGAGTCATGCCTGGCACACCTGTAGGTCTTTGACAAGTACTTATTGGATTGGGTCCCCTATTATATTGGTATGAGTTCGGAGATAAGGTTAAATTACTATTTTTCTTTTATTGAATAAGGATAAATTAGAAGATTAAAAAGCAGAATTTGAAGCAGAGTTTAATTTTTGGATCTAGGTAGGCTTCTGAAGCATCAGTGCTAAATTTGTGAGTCTTTCCTATGCCAAGTTATAATAAAGAATAGGGTAAACATTCAAGAAAAGTTTTTACACTTTATTTTCTTTGTCTAACCTTTTTTCTTACCCTTACAACATTCCAGAACGGAATATGTTTTACTGATGTCGTTGCTGTTGTTATATGCTATTGAGTTGGAACTGACTAGTAGTGCTGAAAACCCTCCAATGGGTTTTCAGAGGCGGTAAATTGCATGGGGAGAAATTACCTATATTTCTCTCTTGGAGCTACTGGTGGATTCAACCTCCTGCCTTTGGGTTGGCAGCACAATTCTTTACCACTAGGTCACCAAAGCTCCCTTATTTTACTGTTAGGAAAGTAGGAGTTGAAGAGAAACTGATGGTATCTAATATTTTAACACAAGACTTCTGTATTGCCTGCTGTCCTCTCTGGTAAGTCTTAGCCCCTCTGAGTTTCTTAACTGCTTTTCCAAAGTGAGGATGCTTCTCAGAGCTTTCTGCTTTAACCAGCTGTGTTTTATACAGCTAGTTCCATTTCCACTAGCGTCTAAGTTTTTTCAAAATTTCTCACAGATATACAAGGGACAAACAGATGCAGGAAACCCTGTGCTCATCTGTTCTATTCAAGAGGCCCTTGATGAACATAGACAGCGACAAGTGCTAGAGATGAGCTTGCTGCTGCATCTCATGGCTCCAACTGTTTGTTTCAGATTCAGCATCACCATTTCCTGAAGGATCTACATGAGCTTATGAGGAAACAGAAAACAAGTGGGAAACTAGTGAAACTTTCATTCATTACAGACCTTTTGTTGGCGGTAAAATAGAATTGCAACCAAAATCAGTGATCTTCACCACCATTCGGCTGTCCACTACACAGTTAGTGGATTTCAGACGCCCGTGAACTTCTGTCTTACTGGAGTGCAGGTACGACATCCCCTACAGTTTTTCAGATGACAGGAGAACAAAGAGATGTGAGACTCTTCAGCTATTGATTATTTTAAAAAAGAGGTAAATTCTTTGTAAAACATTTCAGCACATGTTGCTGTTAGGTGCTATGGAGTCAGTTATGACTTGTAATGACCCTAAGAACCATGAATCTGAATCCTGCTCTGTTCTGCGCCACCCTTCCCATCCCTGGCCTGTTTGAGACCATTGCTTCCATCACTGTGTTGAATCTTAGATAGAGTCATACAATAGTATTTGTCATTTGGCCCCATTCATTTTATTACTGAACTACTATTAACACCCTAATATTAAACTAAACACTGTATCTCGTTTTGGATTCTAATCAGGCAGCACAGTAAAAAGTGCAATTGTCTAAAGACTCTGGTTAGACAGTTATATAGTATGCAGCACAGGTTGATTCTACTGGAAAATAGTGTTAACCATTTCAAAAAGGTATATTCTAGAAGCTCAAAAGAAGATATTTTTTTTAAAAAGAGTGTTTGGATTTACAAATCCTTGGTGGTAAAATGGTTAAGCATGCAGATACTAACCAAAGGGTTGATGGTTTGAATCCACCCACAGAGAAAGGCCTGGTGATCTGCTTTTGTAAATGCTACAACCTAGAAACCTGTGAGATTGCTCTGAGCCGAAAACCTACTGGGTGACATATAGCAACAACAAAAACTACCACTTATTTGTTCTGTGACATTGACTATGTTTCTTATCTTGAGCTACTTCAATTAAACATAGGAAGATTAAGGCTTTGCCTTTTGAAGGTAGAGAGGGAAATACAAACATCAAAGTCATTGCCGTGGAGTCAGAAATGACTCAAAGCTGACTTTTCAGTGGGCTTTAAATCACACAGGAGCAAAGGGCCCATCCTTCTCTCATGGAGCAGCTGGAGGATTTAAACACCAGAGAGGTTCCACTTTTGGGATAACAGCTCAACTCTCTATGGGCTATGCTACCAGAGTTCATTAATTTGATAATGACTCAACTCAACTAATTGCTGTCAAGTCCAAATCAACTTACAGTAAATTGCAAAGGTAGAGATTGCCCATCTTTCTCCCGTGGGGCCACTAGGAGGATTTGAACTGCCACACAGGCTCCACTTTTGGATCAGTGCAACTCCCTATGGGTTATGCCACCAGGACTCCGTAGATAGAGGGCAGGTTACATTATTTCTTAAAATGAAGACTCATGTCTTACCAAGGCCATGAAAGAGGAAGCTTGAGTTTTGGTTTTTGCTGGTGTGCCTCCCTCTCGTGGTCAAAGATGTCATCGCAGAAATTGTGCTTAGCCATCCTCTTGACTCATTTTATCTAAGCGCTGTCACAACGTAATGAAAAACTGCTTGCTGATTCCCTGCCAGCCTCATGGTCAGTTGCCAGTCTGATCAGATTGTTGTGATCTATACGGTTTTCACTGTTTGATTTCTGAAAGCAGATCTCTGGGCATCCTTCCTAGTCTATATTAGTATGAAAGCTCTTCTGAAGCCTGGTTAGCGTCTTAGCACCATGCAAACGTCCACTGGCATGTGTGTGGAGACTGAGTAAGGGTGCACTGGACAAGAATCAAGCTCTGGTCCCCTGAAGGAAGGTGGAAGTTCAATCACTTACCAATTAGGCCATTGTAACTTTCCCCCTTCTCCCTGATTTTGATCATATGTGATTTTCTGGAGATTTTAGACAAGAATCACACCGTTCGTCTCAGGACTAAGTATTTGTCATTTTTAATGAGGTCCTTTTTATCGACAACAACTTTCTTTTTGTATTAGATGTGATAATATAACAAGCCCAGATTTACCATTACTTTTTGCCAGATGTCTGTCCTTTTTGCCTGTCCTTAACATTTTCTCTTAAAAAATTGAGTATTGTGCTGTCCTCCTTAACCAAATTTACATAATTTTGATACCTAGCAAATCTGTAAGGGTACTCTGGGTGGCCTGGTGGTAAGGAGTTGCACTGCCAACTCAAAGGCAGGCAGTTCAAATTCACCAGCTTCTCTAAGGGAGAAAGATAGGCAGTATCTTTCCATCCAATTCACAGCCTCTGAAAACCTGCTAGAGGATTGGCTATGAGGCAGTTCCAACTACACATCATGTAACAACAAAAGCAAATCTATAAGAACATGCACTCTAACAAAGAAGAGGAATAATAGGGTAGCATATAGCTCTGGTGGCCTAGTGGTAAGAAACTGTGCTGCAACCCTGAAGATACACAGTTCAAATCCACCAGCTGCTCTACAGGAAAAGGATGGACAATCTCCTCCAGTGAGATTAACTGCCTCTGACAACCTGCTGGAGGATCTGCTATGGGTCGGTTCCAACTTGATGATATTCAGTAACAACATATAAGATAACATTTATTGAATATTTACATATATTATTTTCTAAGTTCCTTACAACAGCGCCGTGATGTAGGTACTATTATAATTTTTTTTTCTTTCATGATTTATATTTTATTGGTTGTTTTAAGGGCCAGTACAGAGACATTATGAACAACCTGTACACAATTCTTAATGCACGTACCAAAATCTGAAAAGCCATGTAGTTATAATTCTTTTCTAAATTCCAGCGACCTTCCAGCTTTAAATTTGGAGGAAAGTTTTCATAAAGAAGAAAATAAGTACCAGTATCTTCAATTGTTGACAAACTGTCATATCATTAAGTCCCACTAATTCACAATTTACTATCACACACATTACATATTCATATTTTCAACCATTCACAGCACATAACAAAGTTATTAGGAAAACTGGACTACCAAGACCAAAGATGTTACAGAATCCACATAGTTCTGACAGGGAGAAAGCCACGAAAAGGGAGTGATTATGTTTAAGAAGAAATTTTACTAAACAATGTTCTAATTTATATATCTAAAAAACATGGAAAATAGACTTAATTTAAAATGTTCAAGTCATAAATGCATGACTATGACTCCAAATTGTCATTAAGTATACTATGTATTATGGGATATAAAAACTGTCCCCTTTCCCCATGGAATGTTACACTGATATCCAACACCCCCGACACACAATTTTAACATCCCACATTTTCTGGTTGTACCAAGAAATAAGCAACCAGCAAATGATCTCACCTCTTAAAAAATTTTTACACAAAAAAGGGGGAAAAAAATTTATACTTAAAAATGGGATGAAGTGGGATTTCCTTCTTCTTAAAAATGTTTCCAGAGCTACTAGTTGATAAAAATATCCCTCTGGATTGTACAAGAAAGGAGATACAGAGACCACTGATAAGACATGGTAGACAAATGTTAATTAGACTTGGCTTCTTTTTCTTCTGCTTCATCAGAGGCTGGACTCTCTTTGTTTTTAGTTTCTCCATTTTCTGCAGGTAAATCTTCTTTAGTTTCTTGGTTAGCCACTTCAGCCTGTTTTCCCTTTGCTTCCCTTTTCCCTTTTGTTTGCACTTTTTGTCAGAAGACTTCTCCTTTCTTGCTGTCTTTTTGGGCTTCATTTCCATTTTTGCAGGCAGCTTAGCCGACAGCCTTGCTGATCTCCTCTTGGGCTCCTCCTTCACCGCAGCCTTGCCAAGCTGACCTTCCTCTTGGGCACCCTTGCCCAGCTGACCTTCCTCTTGGGCATGTTGGCGGCAGGGAGGGCTCATGCTGGGTGCCTGTGGGCATCCGCGCGCACAGAGACTTCATGAAGCTGGCTTGCTCTGGCACTGCCTCTCAGCCCGCCGCTGTGCTGCTCATACTATTATCATTTTTACAGATGAAAATGCCTGTATACCTAAAACTACATCTATTTTCCTTTATTTGATTTTCAGTGTATGTGTGCGCATGCGTGCGTGTGTGTCTTACCTTAGCAATGTCATACAAGACAGATATCTTAAATTCCCAATCCATAAATGTTCCATCAGGGTAGGAAATTGTGTCATTTAAAACTTCCTGAGTAGGAGGGGAATAAAAAGAAGATGAGTTACTGTAAGAAAATATATTGAAGGGAAATAAATAATTATTTCCTCATCATGAGGTCTGGGAACTCTGGTGGCCTAGTAACAAGAAACTATGCTGCAAACTTGAAGGCACACAGTTGGAGGCCACCACTGCTCTGCCTGAGGAGAATGGGCAATCTCCTCCCATGTGATTAAGTGCCTCTGAAAACCTACCAGAGGGTCAACTATGGGTCAGTTCTGACTCTGTGACACACAACAACATCAACCACGAGGCCTGGGGACCACAAACATTTCTTTTCTCTACCAAATAAGAAGTTTCAGGTGGCTTCACCACAAGATAGACAGGAGGTACCTGTACCATTCCAAGTTCTGGCTCCCAGTTCTTCCATCAGGAGTAAAGGAATGAGTAACCCCTGTCTGAATGCTAGACTTGTGAGCCTGATTAACATCTGAATCAGGTATCTTGTCTCATCCAAATGGAATTAGCATTTTAAAAGAGGAATTTGATATTAGGAAGTACATTCATTAGGCTTAGGTTTATTATCAACTTAGTTTTGTTGCACTTATTGTTGTTAAATGCCATCGGGTGGACTACAACTCATAAGGACCCTGAGAACAATGGATCTGAACCTTGCCTTATCCTGTCCTATCCTGACCATCTCTGTCATACTCTGAGCCTATTGTTACAGTCACTGTGTCAGTCTATTTCATTGAAGCTCTTCACCTCCTTCACTGACCCTCCACCTTTCCAAGCATGATGGCCTTTTCTGTGGACTATTGTTGTTGTTGAACACCATTGAGTTGGAATCTCCTTATACCTGACTCTCCAGTGAGTTTTCAGAGGCAATAAATTGCACAGGAGGAGACTGCTCATCCTTCTCCCATGGATCACCTGGTGAGTTGGAACCACGTACCTTCGGTTGGGAGCACAATTCCTTACCACTAAGCCACCAGAGACCCTCCTAATAACATAACTAAGTATGTGAGATGAAGTTTCACTATCCTTGCTTCCAAGGAGCACCATCTTAGAAATTATTACAATCTTCCCTTCACTATTGAAAGTATCATGATAAACTATATGGTCACTCTACCCAAAATCACCTGAAAGATTGCTTAACACACATAAGACATTGTTCAAGGTGAAGTGTTAACATCTTCTTTTCCTTGAAGCAATTGTCACGGATTCCTTTCTATTCCTCCCTTTAGTCATTCCAAGCTTGTTTCTGACACTGTTTCCTGTCTACCAGCTATGCCTGCATGTCTGAACTACACAAGGATTTAATATTCTTGCCTTTACAATGCCCAAGAACTTCGCTCAGACTTGCCTTGATTCTTTCTACTTCGGTCAGCCAGAACACCTAACATCCAGCTCCTACCCTGTCCTCACTCCCTCACAGAGGAAAGAGAAGAATTTAGAGAGTAGCAGAAGCAAGACTTAGAAACAAGTCTCCTAAGGGATCTCTGGTGGCCTAGTGGCAAGATGCTGTACTGCAACCCAGAGGTATGTGGTTCAAATCCACCAGATGCTCTGCTGGAGAAGGAGGGACAATATCCTCCTGTACCAGTCAGATCCCACTTGATGGTACATGCACACACAAAATAATAAAATAAAATAAAATAAGACACAAGTCTCCTGATGCTAATTTAGTGCAATTATAATGACCATTCACTTTCCTTTTAATAAAAACCAAATTGAGACAAATAAAACCAACTTGGTGATTATCACTAATCTTCTCCCTTCAGTTTCCCCTCTCCTTAAAACTCAAACTGTTCCCTTTTTAGCTTGTTTATGTGTAAAGATACAACAGGGCTAATGGATAAAATCTGAGTGAAATAGTTTGAAAAGCATCAATTTTCTTGATAACTCTAATATTATTCCACCGAGTAAACATTTAATTGACATTTAATTTAATTTAAAAATGTACTCCCCCCCCCATGGATGATCAGCCAGGAAGTTGGAAATGAACATGGTTCCTTACCCGGAGGGATCCTCTCTCACAATATTCAATCACCCCAAAGATCATAGAGTCAAGTTTCACGGTGCCGTAGAACTTGGTCAGGTTGTAGTAGTCAATCTGAAGCAACTGAACCATGGGTTTGTTTAGAAAGCAAATCAGCCAGAAAGGGATGCCAGAATGATAATTAATGTTGATATGGATGTGGGGAAGATGCATTGCTCTTAATAAATTGACACATTAGTGCCTGTTTCTTAGTTCACATTGCATTAAATCTTTTTTTCAGCAGACTTTTGTCAGCTGTTGTTGATGTTGTTAGGTGTGCTTGAGTCATGTACCACTCATCCTGATCCTATGAACACCAGATATGAACCCTGTCCTATCATGTACCATCCTTTTTGTCAGTAGGGAATTTTGCATACAACCTTTTGAGTATTGTCAAAGTCTACCAAGGTCACTTTCTAGGCATATGAATAGATTTTAAAAGTATTTTGCACCATCAAACATCACTGGAAATATTTCTTGGTAGAATTTTCAACAACAACAGTAGCCAATCATTTCTTTGTTGGAAAGTTTCTCTTTAACATCCCCAGTCACACCTTGCTCCCTAAGGAACACCTGGCCTTACATAAAGTGGAATGAAGTGTAGGGATTTGAAATAAAGAATGCATACCTTGTTCAAGTCTATCTTCTGTCTCTCTGTAAAATTGCCGTCATTGTGCTTGAGATCTTTTAGAATCACTCGCTGTAAAAATCAATTGGATTAAAAGATACGTTGTCACATAAAGGAACATAAGTGCATCCACAAAGATTTACAGCCTTGGAAACTTTGTAGGGGAAAATCCACTCTGCCTGGTATGAGTCCAAATCAACTTTATGGCAATGGGTGCTTTGATTTGGTAACATAAGCACTTACACAGGTAGTCTCAAACAATGACGGAACTCTGTTCAAATGGACACTGTCAATTCTGATATAAGTTGAATACCTCATTTTCTATTACCAACTGATGCTTCTTTTGGTACAAGAAACTGGCCTTGGTGCCTTAGGAAGTTGGGAGCTTTAACAGCTGTCAGATCCATACACAATTCAATTGTCATTTGCAATTAGAAGTGAAATTTTGGTCAACTATCTGTTACAACTCCTGGACTGATATCAACTTCACTGTAAACTAAACTGTTGTCTGCTCTAAGGTAGTAAGTTTGAATAAAATTGAACATATCTGCAAGTGAATCCAGGAGAATGACAACACGAGCAAATTAGATGCTACAAAATTATACTTACTGTATATTAGTAACAGTAAGATTTTTTATAAAAAAAAAAAAGGATGGCAATTGTTAGTTCATGGAAACTCAAATATGTCATTAGTCATGAGCTACATAACTATAATCACTTGTTTGTGTGTCTGTATTCCCACTACACTGAGACCTCTTGAAAGCAGTAATAGTATTGTATTTATATTATATAGTGTTATATTTATATGCCTGGCCTCTAGAACCATGAATGGAGTAGACTTGGTTTTAAATGTTTCTTCATAAATATCTGAATCAAAAAGAATGAGAAAGGAAAGAAAGAAGAAAAGATACAAAACTTCCATACAGAGATAGTCTTATTCCCTCAGCAATGAGCAAACGTATGATTTCTGTGCTGCCTGGGCTGCCCTGAACCTCTTTCGTGTATCCTTTTCTTCCTTCACTCTGCTTTTCCACTAAGTTCTATTTACCCTTCAATTTCCCCTGGATTTTGTGACCCTTGAGGGAGTGTCCAGCTGTTTCCTGAAAATGCCTACCTGGGCAGTCCCGTGGAGGAATCTAGGCACTGCCACAATTGCATTACCAACAATGGGAGACCAGAACATATCCTGACAGACAGTTCAAGAAGTGGGAGAGACCATAGTCACCTTTTTGTCATATTTGCACTGCCGTAGTCTCTGGATTGTATCTCGTCTCTTGTCATCGTCGATCTATCATAAGACAAATCTAGTTAGTCCAGAAATCTCGTATTTTATTCTCTCTGCTGCTGGTCAAAGGCTGAGTAGCTCTGCCAATGAGGCTGTATTTCTTATTTGCTCAATATTACTCTGGGCAAATGCCAGACAAACTGTTATTATCAACCCTGCTTTCTCTTCACCTGGAAACTCCAAGAATACCTTCTTCCTGGCTGTCTGGCACTCTCATGCTGAATTATGTGCTTGAGAATGTTATAATCTTCTTTACTTAGCATGCCTTTCTTCTTTCTCTACCTGCAGCTACAGATACACATTCTTATGGAAGCATAGTATGTGTTTGGATGGAATAATGCAGGATTTCAAAATGCACTGGACACTCATACCTAAAGATTCAAATGCTTTTGTTGTTCTTAAGTGTTGTCGAGTCGTAGGTGACTCATAGCAACCCTATGAATGAATTTCCTCAACACTTGTATGACTTGCATCCTTTCTCCAGGTTCATAGGGTTTCCAGAGGCAAGCTATTATGGAAGTGGATGCCACTCCTGCTTCCAAGCTTGTTTCAATTGGGGAGTGCCACCAAACACTGCCCACCATGGGCAGCCATTAATGCATTTGACACATTGGTGTCACAAGCGTTCAGCTTCACAGCAACCACAAGTTACCTCTGTACAGCAAGTGGACACAATAGGGCTATACAGCCTTTGGCTTGGTAGCATCAAATAACAGCACAAATAAAGAAAAAGGACTAAGAGTCTAAGGGGAGAAGCCCCTTCAGCCCTGGGTAGTGACTTCCATTCTGAAGGAAGAATATGGCAGTTGCCCCACTACCCCCAAGCTTGACCACTTCCTGAGAAACTTAATAACACCTGAGCTGGTCATATCAAGGACCAGACCAGACAATGGATAAGAGTCTGAGCTTGAGAAAACAAACAATAAAAAAAAAAAAAGCTAAAACCTAACTAAATTAACATGCCAGATTCCAGGAAGCCCAGGACCCCTATAAAAAGGAACCCCCCCCAAACTGCCCGCACACCCTTTTGATCTTGTCTGCATGCCATGTTGCTGGGTCATTTGGCATCCCTCTCAGGCCATGTAATAAAGGCCTGTTCGTTTCTTGGGACCAATTCCTTTTTTTATTTTTCTCCCTCACGCTCTTTTTTATATGCAACACATTCCAGATCATCTGATATATCAAGAGAAACTATAGTCTCGATTTTTTTATTACACCTTGGAACATACTTTATAATGAGAAGCATACACACACACACACACACACACACACACACACACACACACATCAGCAAGCTAGATAGATCTTATGAACTTCCAGTTGTGATTTCTGGTATAAGGGCAGAGAAAATGTTGAGAAGGGCTGTGTCTTTCAACAAGGTTCTAAAACCCAAAAATGTATTATTATCTTTGTTAGCACTTACTTTACAGGACAGTTTGAAATTTCTGTGAAATGAATTATATCAAGTTCAAGCATGATGTTTGACACAACTTTCTCCTTTTGATTTTAAAAAAATGACACAGGGATACTAAAGATTAAATGTCATGCAAAAAGAAAGTGATTAAATACATTCCAGTTTAGCTTCTGCTGAGGTGCTCATGGGTTTAACCAGGTAGCACTTAAATCAAGGGAGAATCCAAGGAAAAACAGGATACTGAAAATTAGAAATTATCTAAATTTTGGTTTCTAAAACAACACTCCCTGGTTTGTACAGTTCCTCTCCTTCCTACTGAGGTCTTGTCAGATACCTGGCAAGTTGCTTCAGCCCCAACATCCCTCAGTAGGTAAGATAGGACTTACCGTCAGGCTAATCTGATTGGTCTCATTGGTTTCCAGAGGTATGATCTTTTCAGGAGGAATATGAGACCATTTTTTCTGACGAATTTCATTATCTTTTTTGTATTTTCTGCCAAAGGAATAGAACTAGTCAATAGGCTTTTATTAATATCTGTGCCATTAGCTTCTTAACACTGAGAAGAATTTAGAATCCTAATCTCAAGTAATTAAGTGATAAGGGGGAAAGGCTAACCCAATTGTGGTAACTCACATTCTCCGTTCTGGCTAGTGCTGGTGTTAGTGACCTGCTAGGTTTTTTGGTGTCTTTTAGAGTCTTTCTTTTCTTTTTCTTTCATTTTCTCTAGCCCTTGACTAAGGTATTCTTTACTGCATTGTTGTTGTTAGGTGCCATTGAATCGTAGATGACTCATAGTGACCCTATGATCAAAAGACCTGAGCACTGTTCATAGACTTTCCTTAAACAAGCCGTTTCAGAAGTGGATGCTGCTCCTGCTTCCAGGCTTGTTTTAATCAGGAAGCTCCACCAAACACTGTCCGCCATGAGTAACCATTATCACATTTGACACACCAGTGTCACAGTGTTTAGCATCACAGCAACCACAAGTTACCTCTGTACAGCAATGCACAGACCAGTGCTATACCGCCTAGAAGAATGTTTGACAAAAAACAAAAACAAAAACCAATATCAACCATACCTGAGGGCTGCAGGAATTTATAATATGAGAAAAATGTGTGGAGAAAGTATAGAAGAGAAAAAAAATTGAAATAGAAAATCCTAAGAGGCAAAAAGAAAAAGTCTATCATATTGTCTTTCATATCAAAAGACTATCATCATAGACTATTAGCCAATTTCTTGTACATCTCCTTACTTTTGAAAATATGTGCATAGAGAAACCACAGCACATTCTCACAATCGGTTAGTATGCAACACTTAAGAATGAGGAATTTGTGAAACACAGCACAACATGGATGAATCTCGAGGATATTATGTTGAGTGAAATAAATCAGTCACAAAAGAACAAACACTGTATAAGACCAATATTATAAAAATAAAAAACCTAGAGAAAGGTTTCTGTGCAGAGAGAATCAATCTAGTGTGATTATTAGGGAGCGGAGGCAGGGACAGTAGGATTTTAATTAATAGACAATAATCACTTGTTAAGATGATTGGAAGGTAAGACAATGTGGAATGAATGGATGATTAGACATTGTATGTATTCTATTAATGTTATGGAACAAAATGTGCATGAATGATTTATTTTTAAAATATACTTTGTAAAATTTTACTCAAGTCATAATTTTTAAAAAAAATCTCAGCAACAGAAAAAACAAAAAAAAAATTATATACATATGGTTGTTTTAATTTGCATTGTCCTGATTACCATTGCTATTATTTACTGTGGAGTTGTGACTGGATCTTTTCTACTGTTTTCCATTGATTTTAGTTCTTATGTGAAATTGTTCTTGATTGTGCCCATCTTCTGTTATTTTTCCTTTCATTCATTTCATTCATTGTTAGTTTACATTAATTCCTTATATATTCTGCAAATAATTTTTGCCTACAAATGTGTTAAAATACATAATTCTAATTTTTGCCTCTTTTGACTTAACTCTCTTTAATCTGTTTGAACTTTCATATGGGATGGGATATTGCTTCTGTGATGTAATGGTGTAATTAACGGTTTTTATTTCACTTTTCCATTTAGAAAGCATTGTGTCCCACGTCATTTCTCAATTGACTTGTAATGACTTCTATTATGTTCTAAATTTTCATGTTCGCTTGTTTGATTCTGGAATCGGTCTGTTTTTCCACTGATCTATTATCTATCCTCGAATCAGCACTTTATAGTCTATCTATCCCTACAATCAATATCCATGTAACAGCAGTAAAAAAATAAAAGACTTGCTGCTTTGAGAAAATCTGCTGTTTAGGACCTCTTTAAAGTACTAAAGAAAAAAAATGTTATTTTTGAGACAAAGTTGTGCTTGATCTAAGTCTTAATGTTTTAAATTGCTTTCTCTGAAAGTTGGACAGTGAATAAGAAAGACAGAAGACTGATGCCTTGAATTGTGGTGTTGGTAAAAATATTGAATCTCCCATGAACTGACAAGAGAACAAACAAGTTTGTCTTGAAGATCAGGGTGCTCCTTAGAGAAAAGAATGATGAAACTTTATCTCACATACTTTGGGCATGTTGTCAGGAGCCAGTCCTTAGAAAAAGACTTCTTGCTGGGGAAGGTTGAGGTTCAGTGAAAGAGGAATATCCTCAATGAGATAGCTTGGCAAAATGCCTCTCACAACAAGCTTTAGCATGACAGAGTTTTGAGGATGGTGCAGAGTAGGGAAAGATTCACATCTGTTGTTCATAGAGCTGCTGTGAATTGTAGTTGACTTGATGGCATCTAACATCAACAACATGTTTCTTTGAGTATCCTTTTACTTTTTTGTCATTTGACAAACTTCTACTCCACCTGTCATGGTCATTCATTATGCCTTCCTTATTATTTCCTGAGAGGAAAGGGTTACTCTTTCTCTTGTTTTCTAACAGCATGGGCATATTCTTCTATTAAGTATATATGAAACAGGATATTATTATAGACCATTGATTCTGTCTACGGCCACACCACTCTGAGCACACCGATTTCGCCGGACCGTTGATTCTGATTCTAAAACTTGGAAGCAGTGAGAATGAACATTAAAGCCTTGAAGGCCTCCTGATTCTCACTTCTTCACACCAGAACATTCTTGGGCGTCAGCAGAATTGCCATTCGTATTTTGTTAGAAAATGTCAAATTGTTCATGTTTTTCATACAAGCAGTTGTAAAGGAAAACTGTAAGAACAGCATCATGTCTTCTTGACTTCTTTATAATGACCATCGTTAAGGCCATTAAGAAATCATTTCTACCTCTAATGGCTGATTAGAATTGAAAATAAGTTTCTATTGTGCTACTATATCTTACTTTGTAATTTACCTCCTTTTTAGGATGATATCCACTCGGATTTGGTTTCTGAGAGACTATGATGATACCTGTGACCTTAGTATCTACAGG